AAAATAGGATTGAATTGATAATTTAACATGACTTGGTGGATACAAGTAAACATCACTTGGCCACTCACGGGAATAGACAATTGCAGCTGCATATCCCATCACAAATAAAAAGAATGGAAAGACACAATCACTACATGTTCACGACCATCATAAATGTTTTTGCATTGAAATCGAATCCACACATTCCGAAAAGGAGAACATTCATAAAGTGAAATTTCAACATTTTCATTGCGTTATCCAACAAGGACCATCAGAATGATGAGAGAAAGAATTGCACTGCTGTAACTTACGTTGGGGTAAATCCGAACCATTCAGCATGATCCAACGGGATAAAAGCTCTAGCTGGTTGATTATTCACAATAATCATCAACATGATGGTCATTCCTCTCATAATATCCAATGCAACCATACGTTCCTTTCTCGGTGGAGCATTGGTTGTGGTAATTTCTGTTGTTACTGCTGCTGATGATGATGGTGATGGATCTTCATTGTTATTTACTGCTGTTCCCGAAGACAGTAATTGTTGAGCTTCAGAATTCTTTTCACTCGACTGCCATTTGAACAGTTTACGCAATTTGAGACCCAATTCACTCATTTTTCTGTTGTTTGTGAATTGGTTACTTGAGGGGTTCGTTGTGTATGAATTGGGTTCCGAATTTATACCTTATCTTACTCCTTTGGTTGTTGTAATCAGAGTTCACAAACAACAACAAAATGTGAGAGCGTGCAGTATGGTTTATTAAAACAGAGGGATCTTATACACCTACTAATTTATACAATGATATCTTGTTATCCCAAGTACCAACTGAGATGTAGTCTCCATCAGTGCTACTCACAACATCACAAGACAGAACAGAGTTGCTCAATAGTTCTGAGGCAAGCTGTCTAAAGCATGCATCAACTCCAGAGATGGTAAGCATGCCTCCCTTTGCTCCTGAAATAATGTAATTTCCTTTAGGAGAGAATTTAGTGGTAAGAACACAATCAGAATGCTTAATAACATTGTGAGAATTAGATTGTGTCTTGTAAGTGACCAAATCTAATCCTCCATCTTCCAATCCGTACACAATCAAATCTGAAGCAGGTGAGTTGGTGAGGGATAAAACTCTAGAGTTGGTTTGGAATTCTTGGAAACATTTACCTGAGTTAATGTCCCACATTTTAACTGTCTTATCCAATCCACCACTCATCAGAACTTTTCCTGAAGGATCAAGATCAATGCTTGAGCATGGTGATGAGTGACCGTCGAATAATCT